ACAGTATTGTAAGAAGACACTGAGTTTGCAATAGTTCCGGTGATAATAAAGACAGCTAATAAGGATTTGAACACTCTAGCACTTTTGTGAAAGTTGTAGCACTCATAACAACGCAACTCCCTTCTCACAAATCGGGTTGATGACACAGAGATCATGTAGAGCAGCAGTAAGGTTATAAGGGGCATTTTTGGCACTGGTGTACTGATGTGGAGACCATAGTTTAAAGTGCTGGGGAAATTTCTACAGACAAAAGGAATTTTTCGAGTTAGAACTGAACTCATATGCCACAGTGCACATAGTCCTCTTTTCAAAGGAAGTGATGGACAATCCACAAGAAGTGTCTCAGCAGGAGACTGGGTTTACATCTCTTTGAAAATATCAGAAATTAAACTCCTGTCTTTGGAGGGGAAAATCTCACAAGCTTAAAAGCAGTAACTGATCATAATGTATAAACAGTTCTGGATTCATATCCCAGATGACCTTTTCAACTTGCTTGCAAAGGCGAAGCTTCTTGTTGAACTGCTTCTCTTTGGTTCCTGTGTTTTGCTTGTATGATCCAGTAAATGGAAAACATAAGGAGTTCTGTGAAAATGAGATAACATGAAGGGGAAAAGGAGAAGCAACGCAACTGAGCAGCAAGCTGATGGAAAGTATAAATTACTTTGAGTGTGAGAGGAGAAGATGAACTGTCAAAATTAAGTGATTGAGTGAACCATTTTGCTTTTTAGGAAATAAGTGGTTGACTGCATTTCTCTCTAATTACTGCTGGCTCAGGATTAGCTGTGTTTTATTAATCCAAAGTCTGTTTAAAGTTGGCCAGACAGTCAAATGCTGCATTGCTTGGTAGTTGGTGTGTTTCTTGTGAATCAAGAAGCATGTAATTTACAAGACGATCCTGAGAAATACTCAATAACTTACATTGTATTAGAAAAGCATTGCACGAACTAGATTGAACCTCAAGGGGGCAGAGATGTGGGATGAAAGTAGTTCTAAATAATCCTTCTTTCCTATCTCCTGTATTCAAACCTGCTTCTTAACCACTCCTCAACCACCTCTCCAGCTCTCAACATTTCTGTGCACATAAGGTTGCTCAGGTGCAAAAACCAGGAAGAATTTTATGAACTCTTTACATTAGAGAGACATGGACCTGTTGGAGCAGGTCCAGAGGAGAGCCACAAAAATGATCAGATGGATGGAACACCTCACTTATGGGGAAAGATTGAGAGGGTTGGGGTTGTTCAGCCTGGAGAAGAGAAGGTTCCAGGGAGATTTTATTATGGCCTTTCAGTACTTAAAGGGGGCTTACAAGAAAGACAGTAGCAGACTTTGTAGTAGGGCCCATAGCAATAGGACAAGGTGTAATGGATTTAAACTAAAGGAGGGTAAATTCAGACTAGATATAAGGAAGAATTTTTTTATTATTAAGGTGGTGAAACACTGGAACAGGTTGTCCTGAGAGGTGGTAGATGCCTCATCCCTGGAACCATTCAAGATCATGTTGGATGGGGCTCTAAGCAACCAGATAGAGTTGAAGATGTCCCTGCTCACTGAAGGGAAATTGGATTATATGACCTTTAAAGGTCCCTTTGAACCCAAACCATTCTATAAGTCTTTGCTTAGGAATAAACCAATGCAAGGGCAGTTAGTGTGTATGTATGCATGAGCATGTGCCTGATGAGAGGCAGGACTGGTCTTGTTCCAGCTGTTTGAACAGCATAAAGCAGGCAGGGATGAGATGATCACAATAGCAATGGCTGCAAAGAAATTTATCACTGGCACAGTTAGTGGGAAAAGCCATGCAAGAGTCCAGGTGAGGACCCAAGATCCACATAAACTTAACTAATATAGGTTTTAGCCCCAGGGCTTCATACTTTCAAAGATGAGTTAGAAGTTTCTAAAGAAACTGCAGCTGTTGATGCTTGCTTACAATTAACTTTATTTTGGTCTCCATTGGCTAAAAGGAGCATTTAGATCTCTACACAAACACCAGATTTACGAGTCTTAACCTGGAGCTGAATTCCACCCTGTGTGTATCTCAGGAATTACCAAACTGGAGGTTGTTAGCTACTCCAGAAAAGGAGGACGCTAGGCCAAATATGCTTAGATTTGGCCTTCTCCGTTTTTTAATCAAGACAGAGCTGTTTCCTACCACATGGTTATAGAACGGTTGTGGCATAAGTACTTCTCTGGTATCTCCAACAGAGAGAGACACACCAAACTAAGCTGGATCCCGCCGCCTAGGCAGCTGAACATCTGCACAACTGTACTTATCACCTCTATGCATAATCTTGTTACATACATGATTTCACATGTGTGAAACTGCCACCTTCAGGCTCCATATTCCTTAGTGGCATTACCATACAATATCCAGCACAAGCAGATTCATTGGCTGCTTTTTTGAGGCAGAAATGCTGCAAGATGCAATTAGATACTTCATTAGTACTTCAGACCCAAACCCAACCTCCAGATCAAGTAATTATTCTTCCCCACCACCACTGTGTTTCAGGTCACACTGCATCCAGACTTAACTTTATTTACATCATCTTGTCTCCCAGGCTTGCTCTGAAAGAAACCTCCCTTCTGATGCCTGCCTCACAACTTATTCATCCTTTCCTCCACCAAGACACTGCATACCTGTTCGGGCAGTGATTAGCGTGAGATGCGTTAAGAACATTACAAGATGGGGTCTTCAGCTGTTAAAGTTGGTAGTTAAGAAAAGCAACTTCAAGAAAAAGTATTTTGAATCACATAAAGTTTATTTACTTAGTAAAGATATATTACAATATATACAGTTTCTATATACATAAACACCTAAGAAATGAAGCACCATATGATAGTTAGTATTTTATAGAAATTTACAGAAATTTTATTTTTGCATCCAAATAGCTGTATCCATAGACACACATTGGTTAGAACCAAGCTTTCCTAAGATGCTGACTTCAGTGAGTTTTGGATTAGATTGCTAGTGAAGTTACCAAAGAGAAATTTAATTGCTGTCAGCTATTAATCTGCTATGCTTCAAGATATGAGATCTTAGCTATGTCATTTCTGAGGCTATGTGCAAACCTCAGAGAAAGTCAAAGGTACAGAAAGAAGGTATTTTATAAGACATAAAAATGCAATGCTTTCATCAGTAAGATTTTTTACTGTCATCAGAAACAGAGTTTCCTTAGAATGGAAAAAGAACACCGGTCAAGTGTTTATACGCATTATGCAAAGTGAAGTTAAGAACCTGGAGGCTTATGTGATATGGCATTGTGCATTTCCCAAGGAATCCATTTACTCATGACATGATCCCCTTAACTCAAGGAGAAAGACCAGCTGTTCTGTAATCTTCATGCCACCATCAAGAAAAAATAAGGCTCTGTCCAAGGTACAAAATTTCCTTCAAGTGAATAAAAGACATTTGGAGTGGGAAAATGTAAATTGAGGTATTTAATAAACTATAGGAAAAAAGAAAGCGCCTAGACTGCTCTGAAAAACACCTTAGATATTTTACATATGCAATTGTTACATTCACCTGATTGTGGGTCAAGTTCTGTATAAACCGTTTATAACTTTTGCGCTACCTAATTTTGCTTTTCATATTTTTGCTTCACTAGATGTTGGATCTAACGGCTGGAAGAAAGCATTGTTACTCTGAGGACAGTTATTATGACAGACACAGGTGTTGATCAACATCACTGGCTTTTTTAGGACTTTGCCCTGAGGACAGCGGAATTCAACTTGAATCGTTTTGGTGTTGTGTGGGGTACAGCATCGCCCATCACTGCAGAGGCCACAGTAACGAGGTTTGTATGTCTGCAGGCTAGTGCAGTTCTTGTATTCAAAGTGAACAGCTTTCAGGGACTTCTTTGTTCGGATACATTTCTTCCCTTTCTAAGAGAAATATCAAAAGACATTAGATACATTATTGCATAAGACAGAAAGCAGTTAAAAATTGACATGCAACAATATAGGTCTACTCTGAAAACTTAAACTTGTTGTCTTTGCTCATTCAACAGCAGTAAGACTCTGCAGCTACTTCAGTAGTTACTTACAGATAAGTCCTGCAAGTTCTGTCCTTTGACACTAGTACGTTATTGGGCCAGTAATAAATGACAAATAATTAAAGCCCACTTTTGTAATTTGAAACATGCCAAACCAAAATTCATTATGAAACTATATTCTACTGGAAAACTTCTCAGGCTAGACTAGTTCTAACAGAGAATCAGAAAACCAAATGAGCAAGTTTCAGGGGGAATAATGACAACTAAAACAAACCTCAAAAGTCATTGCCCATTCTTGTGACCCAAGGCAGAATCAGCTTTCTCCATGTTATGCTTAACAGATGGTCATCTAACCTGTCCTTGGAAGTCGTCAGTGACAGAGACTCCACATCTGCCCCAGACAATTCTAACAGTTTGCTGGTTTTACTGCTTGGAAGGTTTTCACTCACATCTTAATTTTTATGCAGTCTAAATTCACCATTTCTTGTAGTATCCTCCACGGAGACAGAACTGCTTGCAATATCTGAACACAGTTATGAGAATGCATCTACATTCTCTTGCAATCAGAAAAAGTCCAGTTCTAACAATTTTTCCCTAGCAGAACGTGTTGTCTAGACCTCTGATCATTCTTGCTAGTCTCCCCAACTCTTCCCAAATGTTTCATATCCTTTTCAAAACACAGTATTTAAAACTGCACAGAGCATTTGGCAAAGGCCTTAGCAATGCTTTCCAACACCCAGAACATTACATAAAAGGATGGTCGTCTTACCTAGCTGTGTGTTATTCTCCCTGACAGTAACACTTGCGTAGAAGCAACTAAAAAAAAAAAACCAGCTCCCTGACACACATTCATTGCACCTGAAGTGTCAGTGTTGGACTAGGTTTTGGAAAAAGCATCATAAGGATTAAGATAAGGTTTAACTTACACAAGCAAATTTTGCAGGATTTTACACATTTCTCTGCCTTTCCAGATGCTCAAAAGACTAGAAATCTGACACAGTCATTCTGCATGACCAGAGCAACTCCAAAGTATACATACAGGTAGTATACCTGCATTTGTGGGAGAAGTCAGACTGTATGAGCTGTCAAAATAGTCTGCACATACATCTGATCTGCTTGGGATGGCTCAAATTATCATAGAACATAGAATGGTTTGGGTTGGAAGGGACCTTTAAAGGTCATCAAGTCCAACCCCCCTGCAATAAGCAGGGACATCTTCAACCAGATCTGGTTGCTCGGAGCCCCATCCAACCTGGCCTTGAATGGTTCCAGTGGCATCTACCACCTCTCGGGGCAATCTGTTCCAGTGCTTCACCATCCTCATTGTGAAAAATGTCTTCCTCATATCTAGTCTAAATCTACCTTCTTTTTGTTTAAAACCATTACCCCTTGTCCTATCGCAGCAAGCCCTACTACAGAGTCTGTCCCTATCTTTCTTGTAAGCCCACTTTAAGGTACTGAAAGGTCGCAGTAAGGTCCCCCTGAAGCCTTCTCTTCTCTGTGTTGAACAACTTCAACCCTCTTAGTCTTTCCTCATAGGAAAGGTATTCTATCCATCTGATCATTTTTGTGGCCCTCTGGACCTGCTCAAACAGGTCCATGTCCTTCTTGTGCTGGGAACCTCAGTACTCCAGGTGGGGTCTCACCAGAGTGAAGCAGAAGGGCAGAATCACCTCCCTTGACCTGCTGGAATTGCAGCAAAAAGCTCCTGAGCAACCATGGCAAGTCTAACACTTACCAAAAACACTGGGCTAGCTGCACATATGCTAAAAGGTGTATTTACGTACATCTGCATCTGGAGCATTCTAGATGATAATATTGCAACCCTGGAATCACAGCTGAAGAGTCCTTGCTCCCCTGCCACTCCCTGTAGCATACCTTATCAGCTGGCTCTTCATTTTCACAAGGTCTTATCATGCAAAGTCGGGTCTGCTTCACCATCTCACACTGTTGATTTCTGTTGGTAACACGGGTGGAAAAGCCCATTCCACAGCTTTTGGAACAAGCACTCCACTCTGTTGTCTGCTCAATGCAATTGGCACTTGAATCTGACACATCGATCCCGAGTGTGGCCTCTTGTCTGTAGGCTGGAGACAAAACCCCACAGAACGTTATTACAAGAAAAACTCATGTGAAAACCTGGTGTCTAACTGAGCTCTACCACATCTGGGAAGAAACACACGAGACAATAAAAAGGTCCAAATCTATGCTTTTGGCAGGATTTAGGAGTTTTAAAAGCTGCCTTTTTAGGAGCTCTGGATAGTAACTTCCTACATGCAAAAATAACAGAAAGGTGCATGTCAGCGTAATCAGCAAAGCATTTAGATTAATTTCACTCAAGTTCACAGCTGGAAGAATTAGTGCACTGGAAGAGTTACAGCCAATTTTTTTAGTTTTCAGAACACTAATAACTTTTTATTCCTCATTCTTTCCAGTGGAAATGCATCACAGATCTGTTCTAAAGCTATATTCTAAAAATATTTATATTAGATATGACTTGAGAGAGGCTGAATGATTTATTTAAACTATAAACAGCATGGAAGTAAAGTCCTTTACTCCAAGAGTCATAAAGTCACTCAATCTTGTCAATTATTGACAGATTATAGCCAGAGTGATGGTGCCAAAGGAGGAAGGAAGTTACTTCCAGGAGTTATCACAGCTACTCAAAGCTATAGCCAACTCTGATTATCATCCTGCCCTCATGGCAGTGTTAAGCTGTATTATGCAAATATTGCTAACTGTGTCTTTTGGTTCAGCGATTGTCACAGGAGTAAACAGAATGAGGCAACACAACTGAGCCGTCAGTCACGGTTCTTGCTGTTAAGCTCCTCTACAACAGCATTTTTGTCTTTTGCATGTTAAAGCTCCAAAAAGGTGGCCTCCCTAGAGGGATGGCCATTGCTAGAAAGAATGCAGATAATCCATCTGTAGGCATTTTATGGATTAGCCTGTCACTGTCAGACAAATCAAAGAAAAGGAAAGATGATAGAAAGATGGCAAGCTTTTTGTTTATACTTTATATGCCTTACAACTGACACTTCATAGCACTCTGAAAAGTTACTAGAACTTTTCTTCCCGGATACTTCCTTACTTGTTTTTCAAATGGATTAGCTGAGTTTCAGCATAACAAACTGCTTAAAACCACAAAGAGCAGCAACTGGAAGAGAATGCAGTGCTCTCAACTCTCACTAAAAGTAGCTTATTAGTCATGTTGAACTAATAGTCTAATTTAAAGGGAATGGAGACAGAATTCAGTAAGAAAACAGAAAAATATGTAGCATTTTTCAATTACAAAAGCACTTTATGAGTCCTGTGTTTTGGAATGGGTTGGGTTTTTTTTCAGATCCACTCACTATGTTTATAACCACTGTTTCTCCAAGCTTTTAATGCCAACAATAATGATGAGAGCTCTAGCACAGACAGGCAGGAATTTGTTGGCATTTTAGCTACCATTTTTACCACTTCTAATAGCTGGGGAATTTAGGGGATAAAATAGTCTCTTGTAGATTAAGATGTTAGAATATGTATGTTAGAATATGTTAGAAATGTAACATACTCTTGCAAAGCAAGTAGCAAAATTGCAGCTTTGATTTTTTGGGGGGCTGGGAATGTTTGGAGGATTATGAACTACCCCATTTCATTCCACTCACAGAACTACCCTGCACCAGATAAACAGAAATTTCAGAACTGGGAACTAACTCAAGTTAACTACCCTTTAAAACTGCTATGCACGTGCATCCACTGAATATCTTTTCTTTTACCTATTGAGCTCTGCCTTTATTCATAACCACTAGTATACTTACTAGTGACTCTAAATGAGAAAAAAGATCAGAAAAAAATGACCACACAAAGCAATGTGTCTTAGATGTGGCAGCCCCACGGATATTTTCAGTACGATACCACCTCCTCCTCACAATGACTGTGATAATTAGTTTGAGTTTCCTCCCCAGCCATAGCAAAACCTCCCAAAATCACTTCGTCTTTGGGGTCACATATCCACTTCTCACAGCACTCTCCGGGGACTTCAACCTTTCTGGGGAAAGGGCAGTCGGGACCCGGGAGCAGCAGGTCCAGGTTACAGCGGGGCAGACAGCCGATCTGCCCGTCCCGGCAGGTGCACTGGTACTTGCAGCTGGGCTGGAAGGTCTCCCCATTGCGATAAATCATCCCATCAAACACGCAGTTGTCTCCTTCCAGCACTGGTGAGAAAAGCGAATGAATTTCACCCAGACAAGGGGCACCCGGCACCCTCTCCCTGCCTCCCCCAGCACAGTGGCGTGTTTCCCTCCCAGACCCAGAGTGGGCCACACCCGACACCCCTCCGGCAGCAGCGGGGATGCCGTCGGCCCG